AAATGGAAAGACGGATGATTTAAAATTTACAACAACATGTAGCAGGAGAACAATTATTTTTCCAGCACGTTACCAAGATTACGTGAATATTTAATGTTGTATACTAATTTTTCACATAATGACACTAATATTTTGTAAATAATATTTATGTAGTTTATTGTAATAAAAGTATTTATCTGAGAACAATTTTTCTCCTTGCATCACAACTATGTTGCTTGGAAGGGGTGTAATATAACCTCTACAAACCATATATAATTTTTTCTTTCGTACAACTTTATGTAGACTGCGAGTGGCAATAGTAGGAAGCGAAAATAATCATAGAATGATGTTGTTTAAAAAAAGAAAGTCTTCAAAATGTGAATAATAAATTGTTTTTCTTTCACAATTAGTAGTGTAAAGTAATTCTTAAAGCAGAAAAATAATGTTTATGATGTAGCAACTGCTACACACTAACCCAATTTTTTATTAGAACACCACATCAGTGGCATAACTGGAGAGAGGAGGGACATTTGTCCCTGGGTACAACATACAAGAGGCACCCAAATGATATTTCCTATTTGACAAACAGGAGCAGGCACGAAATCTTCAGTTATCCCAAGGTGCTGAAAACCTCAGCTATGCCTCTGCTCCAAAAAGGGCTGCACTGAAGTATCTCTCATACTTTTTCCATTAACTTCTGGAAAAGATTGTCAGCTCATCAAATATTAAATGTCACACAGACAACATTTGTCACAAATGACCACGTCTTTTCTTGGATTTGAATTCGAGATAAAAAATACAGAAACTGGCTTTGCTAAGCACTTAACTGTTCAAGGCAACATACATCAAAAGTAAATCTAACAGCAAATTTACAAACATGAATAACCATATACATAAAATAAAAACTATTCATAATTGTAAGACTAAGTTAAAATCTAACGATTTAAAATTAAGCTTTGTACAAAAAAATAACTTGTGACATTGTGCTCATAGACTAATTAAAAAGTAAACAGCTATGGGCTCTGAAACGCAGCATTCTGCCCTTTCAAAAGGCACTACAACTAAAAAAAGCAAAATAACTTTAAAAAAAATTGAACTGCAAATAGTGGAAAAGAACTTTTTCATACTTTGGTTAAAAAATATGGATCTTCAGAGTAATAATTTGGATATTTGCCCAACATAAATAACAGAATATTTCATACTAGCATAAAATAATAAATCAGATGAAAGAGTTCTCATATAGATATATCTCACACATATACTTTTTAACTGGCAAGTCAGCATCATACTTAAAATTTTCTTGTCAAGGCCAGAAATAAATTAAATGCTGCCGGAGCTTCACAATGTTTAAACTGGATACTGATGCATTTTTAGGCTGATCTTTGGAATATGGTAACTGGTAGTTTGGCGACATTTTGGAGGCAATAAAGGTTACTACCTAGGACTTTGGTTATAATGTGAGAAGTACTCAGTTCCGATTACGCATTATTTTGTGTGAGGGAAATGAGAGATCATGAGATATGTCATGTGACATTAATGGACGAATTACAGTTCTTTAATCGGGAAAAAATCTGGAAATTTTGTATTTAGCTTTATTCTGTGTTGTGTGAAACAGTGTTCATTAATTTTTGGATCCCATGGCCCTAACTAAAGTGAATTCGAAATGGGTATTTAGTGGGATTGAAAGGGGTAGTAATAAGTGTTTTTTTAAGGTTGTGAGAGATAGAAGTAAAGATGTTTTATTAAGTTATTTATTTTACCTGGTACCTTGCTGTGAACTATAAGTATGATTTTAAAGATCTTGAAACAAGCGCACATACGCTTGCTTTTTATTTAGCGGAGGAAATAAGAAAAGTTTATCGGGCACGTAATCAAGATCTGAAGAAGATAGGTAAGTTAGTAGTATTTTTAATTATTTGAGGATATTATTTTTATACATTGTTCTAAATGTAAGGAGTAAATAAAATAATATGGTATTATTGGAAATTGTTATTAGCAATGATTTTTATATTTTAAGTAGTGTTTTTGAATTTAATTATATTTTAATTAAATGATAGTTTTTTGTGAATTATATGTTTGTAGGAATTTGGTATACGTTAGAGTGGAAGTAAACATGCATGGAAATAATTTAAATATTTGACACTAAGTATTTGTGACCATTTGTAATGCTTGCGATATGAATTAGTTGGTGACATTTGTAATATAATAGATAATGTAGAGGTAAAAGTTTTTGGATATTTTATTTATTTTATATGTGGAAATGTTCATATTTGGAAAGGGTAAATACTTTTTCGCGATCAGGTAATTTCATATATGTTCTTTTTACCGGGTTTAAAGATTCAGAACATTGTTATGCAGTTTCGTGAAATTTTTCTAATTTATGAGAAAAAAGCAGTGTACATGGATATAGTGAAGAGTGTGCACAATGCCATTTTTGTGCAATTCTGGGATTTTTTTTAAGTAAAAATAAGTCGACGTGTACATGGTTTAGTGATATTTTAATTAAATGATAGTTATTTTGTGAATTTTACGTTTGTAGGAATTTGGTATACGTTTTAGTTGAAGTAAACGTGCATGGAAATAATTTAAATATTTGACACTAAGTATTTGTAATGTTTGCGGTATGAATTCGTTGGTGACGTTTATAATATAATAGATAATTTAGAGGTAAAAGTTTTTGGATATTTTATTTATTTTATACGTGGAAATGTTCATATTTGGAAAGGGTATATACGTTTTCGCGATCAGGTAATTTCATATGTTCTTTTTACCGGGTTTAAAAATTCAAAAAATTGTCATGTATTTTCGTGAAATTTTTCTAATTTATGAGAAAAAAGCAGTGTACATGGATATAGTGAAGAGAGTGCGCAATGCCATTTTTGTGCAATTCTGGGATTTTTTTAAGTAAAAATAAGTCGACGTGTACATGGTTTATATGTATGTGTTATTCTGAAAAATGCGCAAGGAGTTTGCCATTGTGCACTTTTTCCCAATTTTGCAGTGAATATTTGTCATGATTAAGCAGTTTTGTTAGATAAAATTTCTAGCATAAGTGTAATTCGGCTAGTAGATTGTTGGAAAAAGTGTTCAGTAAATAAAAAGAAAAGAAACATGTCTTTACTTCGTGAAGATAAAATGGCGGCAGAAAAAAAAAAATAGAGGGTTGCTGTAGCAGAGTTGGTCGTCAAATTTTCGCCAAAAAATCTCCAAGTTACCATAATCCAAAGATCTACCCAATTTTACTTATTAACTTCTAGCATTTAAATTTTTCCAAACAAATTAGTTTAGATTGCTAGCAATTATTCATAATTCCATTGAAGCAATTTAAGACATTTCCATAACTGAAATCAGATCTTCAAGACTCCAAGAAAAAGTCTGATAGTTCAATTCAGTTTTAAAGGATAATGGGTTTTCATTGATGAATTTTTAACTTTAAAATAATTGGCTTTTTATGATGTTAATAGTTGCTGTGAGAATATGAAATTATTTATCATATTCACTATAATGTAAGTTAATATGGAGAGAACTGTAATAAAACAGTATAATTTCTGTAACAGTTTTCCCTTGAATATAACCTATGCAAACTATGTCAGTGATTCACAATATAACATTATAATATAACATTATTATAGTGAAGCAAAACTGCACTGAGCACATAGTGAATGAAGTACTAATGCAAAAAGTTATATATACAGCATCTCACCAAAATGATACTCTTCCTCTTATCAATAAACATACAATACCAAAAACAGAATATTTTATCAGAAACTAAATAAATGCAAAAAATTTCAAAACTTCTGTCTGAATGTACAGTCTCAACATATGCTGTTATCCTAAAAGATATCTTAAGCTTCAATAAAACCAATACACTAACAATGAAAAAAATAGAGATAATAAATATTTTTAAAATGTCGAATAGAGAGTAAGTATGAATTTCAGTATTTTAATGGTATATAAAAATGCACAAAAAATATGAGAAATTCATTTTAAACTGGTATTGCAAGATAGCATAGAATTATTCACATACCATATTAATTACAATAAAATATTAAATGCCTTTATATACACATACTCATAATGAATGAAATTGAAACATTCATACATTTTTAAAAATTATTTAAACCATTTCAATAAATACATTTATAATCAAAAGCACAGTCTCACTAATACTGCACACAATAACTTCCAATATCTGGGCTACCACTGGCAACAGACACTTTTTCAGAAAAAATTCTGCAAAAAATCTTCAAATCAATTTTGAATTTCAAATACTGAAAATTATAAGGGCATGAACTTCCTACGATATTATCAGAAAAATAAATCACAAATGGAAACATGAAGTTTAAAACTGAAATTTTAAATAAATCTTCTACTAAATAAACTGCATATCTGCCTCAAACTATGGGCTGTAAACTGAATTACTCCCTCAATACTGAATTTATGATATATTTTGCATATGTAGCTAGAAAAAAAAGAAACTTGAATAACAAGTATCTTAAATACTATACTATGAAAATTTCAAGAGTAACTCAACAGCTGTTTTCATAGTGCTTAAAGTGAAAGCAAATGAAAAAACATTTAGATCTTAACGTAACATGTTAATAACAGTTCAATTCCCAACTGTACACCTAATCTTCCTCTTCATCCACTAAAAATAATGAGCAAGATCCGCTTCCATTACGGAAGTGAATTTATAAGAATTTTATTTTAAAATCACAAAGAAATATATATTCAGTACGTATAAAAAGTTAGCCACCAGAAATAGTAGCAGCATAAGAACAGGGCATTAAAAGCAGCAAATGAATTTCCCAAAGCATAAAAATTATAAATTTCCATCAAGAAAATCAACATTATAGTCAATAAACAACAGAATCACATTGCAAACGTGAATTATTCTCATATCATGTATGAAAACTGTGGAATGGGGTCTTCATTAGTACATTTTTCATATGTGTTGTTTAAGGAACAGTGAGAAAATTTCAAGAATAATTTACAAAAAAGTTACTGTACAATACACTCACTTTCTTCTTCGGTCAAAAAAAGGTCGGGAGTTACAGAAGATAGATCTGTTTTTCACTACAATCGCAATTCATCTTTTAGTCCAAAATATGATTTTAGTCCTGTTTAAAATTCTTCAATTCTGCCTTTGGCACATGGATGACGCACACTGAACACAAACGCTTTTTAGAAGACATTGGTACATATTCATATATGGCAAAATTGAGCCAAACGGACAGCTATACACCACTCCCAACATACAGCTTAACTATTGAAACGTCTATACCACCAGAATCAAAATTAAATGCCGTAACTCTAAACAAATGATACTCAGTATATAGATGGCGCTGTAGTAGTATCTCCAGATTTCGGCACAAAACAGACTGGCTGTGCATCTCGTATATCTCGTATTCTGAATTTAATCCAGTAAACGCTAAATTAATTCTTGTAAATGTACTTCCGAAAGTCAACGACGTCCATAATGCCATATTGGCATGTTATGCTAATGTTGCTGAGGTACGGATGCGCTGAGATCATGATGCATGTTGCGACACTTTGTAGTGCTCTGGAATTAATTATTTTAATACCCCTCACAGTCTAAAAGTCGTTTACTTCATTTTCCTTCTCAAGATTGTTCTACCGGACGTACAAGACCTTTTTCGCTAAAATTTTCAACAATTCCACCTCATACCTATGATTTTGGAATCCTCTATAGCAGAAACCGCATTAGCTCTAAATTCGCCACCTTTCTTATCAGTAACTCATCATTCACCAGTTGACTCAGGCGAACGCACTTCGCAAACATTAGGCAGCAGCGATCTCCCGGGTTAACAGTGTTGACGATTTTCGATCTGGTAATGTGTCCCAGCATAGACGAGGGAGAACATTAGGTTGAAGAAGTCATAGGGAAAAGCAATTATACAGTTTCCGAAGTAGACATCACATCGATCAGGAACAGTGTAGGAAGTGAAAAAAAGCCGTCGATGAAATGTTTCAGGGCTAAACCAGAGGCGACACTCAAATTAGGCTACAAAGTTCAAGTAAGATGAGGAGTATACTTTAACTAGAAGGAATCAAAAATTAAGGAGTGCAAAAATACCCAGCACTCTGAACAAAAGCAAACGAAGATGATATATTATTCTCGAGTGTAAAGATGTAGAAACAGCATCTTACTCGGCTTCTGATAAGCAATCTAGAGAAAAAAGAAAGAAGTACAGCGTAGTAAGAGGGGTGAGAGGGGGTGAAAAGAGAATCTGGTCCGCGCCAGCGGCGGCTAAAGGGTAAATTAAGCTTGAATGAGTCAATTTTGGTTGTATTTCTTATGTGGATAGGGTGTCATAGAAATAGCGATGTTTTTCTCTAGGTGCGGGGAGTGTCTGACAGTGCTAATAAGGCTATTACTGTAGGATTGTACTGAGTGAAAGAAGTTAATATTGTCTTGTATAGGTTCTATTTGTAGTTCTATTTGTAGTATCTGTCTTGTAGGTCTCTGTAAATGCAAGTGTTCGGAATATACCAAGGAGCATTGATAATTTCTCGGAAGGCTTTATTTTGTAGTACTTGTAATTGTTTAATATTGGTTTTAGTTGCAAGTCCCCAGATCGGAGCTGCATAAAGGAGGGCTGGACGAATAATGGAGCGCTATAAAATTAATTTGTTTGTTGTAGATAAGTTGCTTCTTTTACCAAGAAGAGGTTGAGCTGAGGTGATCTTAAATTTTTGTGCTACTGCGCGGAAGTGGGTTCTGAAGGTAAGTTTTTGATCCAGGGTGACTCCAAGGTATTTGGTTTCATTAATTCAGTCTATTTCTTCGTCAAATATTTCAGGGGAAAGAGGGTAATAGTTTATGTTTCCCCTTACGGAAAATTATTGCCTTGTTTTTATGAGTGTTAATTTTAATCCTCCAAAGGATGTGCCGTTTTTCCAGTTTAATGAGATAGTTTTCGAGTTGGTTTCTTACGGCGATTGCTGCGCAGGCTTTACTAAGTATGGCGGTGTCATCGGCAAAGAGTGCAAGATGAACAGAAGGGTCTTTAGGAATGTCTTGCGTATAGATATTAAAAAGATACGGCGAAAGTGCTGACGCTGTGGGACACCAGCTTTGATAATTGTGGTGGTTGAGTAAGCAGTTCCAATTTTGATTCTGAATGTTCTGTTGCGGAGAAAAGATGCAAATAAGCGAATAAAATGATCTGAGAAATTGAGTGTGATTAATTTGTAAACGAGGCCCCGATGGCATACCCTGTCAAAAGCCTTCGCAATATCGAGGAATATGGCACCGGTCGGAAGCTTGCGGTTGTAGCCTTCGGTGATAATGTTGATAACTCTTAGAAGTTGGTGGCAAGTGCTATGATGATTTCGAAATCCGAACTGTTCTGGAAGAAAATTCCTGGAAAACCAAAGCAAGAAATGGTACTAAAAGTTAAACAGTTAAATATAAATATTTAAATGCAGAAAAATTAAATATTTTTAAAAATATAAATGTATTATAGAATTAATACATGAGACATCTACTGAGCATTAAGCATTAGCACAAAATAAGCGATATAGTAAGTTAAGTTAATTTAAAGCGCTTATTTCCTCCATAACAGGAGGTTCGAATCCCGCGAACGGGCTAGCTGCATGGGTGTTTTCGTGGTTTTCCTCATGTGTAACGTCTATACGAGCCAGTTTCCCTTAGAAAGTCCTCCACGAAGGCATCCCTCCCCTTAGGCAGATAGCCCTCGTGTTCTTTGCCATAATTAAATATACCATGCCCTCCTCCATAACAGAGTAGAGGATGTTAGATTTAGTACTTTAGTCATTTGCAGCCTGCATCACAGACGGTTTACTTTTAAAAATTTGTGTGACTCTGTGTAGGTTAGTTCCAAATGCTCGTTGAAATTCAGGTATAATTTTCATTAGCTCCAATAATTCCATAAGATTACTACTGCCGTTTGGCAAAATACTTTATAAAATTCATGTCATTTCTACCGTCGGTGAGATTTGTAGAAAAATTTATGTCCATACCAGCAGGTTCCGAAGAGGAATTGGCATTTTGTTCTTCACTACATGATCTTAAAGCCTGAGAAAAACTCACACCATTGCGGTGATTAGAAGAGAGCTTTTTAGGTCTCTTAAGCCTAGGAAATTTTTCACAACCCCTATACGAGGCTGGTTGACCCCCTTTTCCGAAGTTGCAGCATTTAGGGACGTCTAAGCGTCCTTTATTGCAGTCCTGAGTCTTATGATGTCCAGCGCATTTAATGCATCGTGGGAAAACATGATAATTCTTGAGGAGTGGTGCCTTTCTGGCAGTTAAAGCACTGCTGAACTTGAAATTTAGAAACATATTTTTCCATCGTAATAAAAAATAGACACATATCAGTCAGTTTATGGATTTGATCGACTACTTCATTTTTGAATCATCGTACTTGAAATAAGGCCATGGGGGCCCGAGTCCTATGTTTTGTCAGCTGCACTACTTTATAAATCTTGAATCCTTTCTCAACTAACTCATCTTCGATTTCGAAAACCTCCATATCAGAAGGCAGAACTTTCAGTAGCAGCTTAACAGGCTTTTCGTGCCTAAGATTGACTACAAAATGATCGATTCCGTTTTCAATGTCCTTTCTACAGTTGGTGAACTCAGAATCCTATAATCATTATCAGTGCGGGGTAGAACCTTTAGAAATTCACCACTCAGATGGAATAAAAACTTAACATCAGGTAGTTTAGCGGCTACGTCCTTAGCAAAATCGTTAAACTTAACGTTTGCCTCTTGCCTAGCCATTATGAGGAGGGGGAATTACACCTTGACAACAGTAGGAACATTCACCGGTTATACTTTCTGGGCCTCTGATACTTAGAGCCAAGAATTTCGGCATGGGATGAAGTGGAAACTGGGCGTTGGCCTATGCATTTAAATATTACTTCTGTACACAGTATTCGCCCTGATTTTCGATTTACTTTTTTTTTCTCCTTGTCTGTCTAAGGGTTATTCTTATCAAGGATCAAGGAATTTAATTTACGGAGTGTGCTAGGCTAGGCCTTTAACTCTACATCATCAGAGATAAAATAATTACATCAAAAGAGGGGTTCATCTAATACGGGAAAAATTTAGAAGCCTAATTTATAAAAATAAAAGCTTTTCAGATAATGCCTTCCGCATGAGAAAAAATATAAAATCTCATAGAAGGCCTTTTTATTTAAATTTCGTCTCTAAAATGGGCCAGAATTCAATTTGGAGGGCAGTCATCATTCATAAAATTAAAAGGTGCAAAATATTTCCTTGATTCTTAATATCAACAATAAAATAAAAATCCAAAGAACAAGCAGTCCGGTTGAAAAGAGCTAGCGCAAGTTCAATGAACTTGCACCCATTCGGGGTAGCTGGGCGAAATAGGCGGAGGGGACCTGTTAGGCGGGTTCTAGAAGCAAGTCAAAGTAACAACTGATGGTGGAGAAGAAATTTTGGTTGCTATTCAACGCGACATTTATAGGTCAGATAAGAGCAGCCCCTTAGGGGTGTCGAAAGCAACCCGTTTAGCGGGTGAAAAGAAGCAATTAAGCGAGCGGCTGCAGAGATAAAGTTGTCCCTTGTTAAAGAGACGTTAAAAGACTCTTTTTAAAGGGTTCCTCCGGTCAATGCCCTTACGACTTGTTATCGGGAGGCGGTTGAAGTTCAGGAACGTGAGATAGGCATCCACTTGGGCGTCCGTATGTACATAACGGCACCGTTTAAATGGCAATTGAGCATAATCAGGTTGTGAAATGACTCTGTGTTGCGTTTTGAAGAGGCAACTGCAGGATCAAATACCGGCATGGTATGTAATACTGGATTTCCAACAAGATGGATGTTTTTGAAAAATCTTTCCGAAAGTCGCTGTATAAAGCGATTAATGTGCTAATTTTGAGATCGTTATGAATGTCATCGTTCCTTACGAACCATGGAGCGTTTAATATCTCAGGCAAAAAATTTAGATTGAAAAATGTGGACGTGTTTACAGTTAGCCAGAGCAGCTGAGCCCCAGATGGGACACGCGTAAGTAAGACTAGGCCTTATTATTGATTTTTAAAGCAAGATCTTGTTGTCAAATGACAGGTCGCTATTTTTAGCGAAAAAAGGGTGCAGGTTGACTTTGGTAGACTTCGCATTCGCAATGACTTTTTGAATGTGAAGTTGCAATGTTAATTTTGAGTCTAGTAAAACACCAAGGTATTTGTATGAAGTAACCCAGGGAATAGGTTCTGAAGAATATGAGGTTATCTAAACGTGGGATATTTCTTCAGATGAATAAAGTGGCAGCACAT